CCTTGCATTTAAATCCATGTTAGGAACATAAATGTCTTTTCTATTTCCTAGCTCTCGAGAAGTGGAAAGCAACATCTCCCTCAATTATAAATATCAATATTTTTTAAAAATACTTTGTGTTCCATTTTAATTGGAATCCACCTAAAATTGTGTAGGTTGACAGTGAACTAATTAGCAGCTGAAGTCTGTTTGTCATTTCCTTAGGAAGTGACCAGGCTGTGCTAAATGTTTTACAAGCTTTTAAGGTGATTTCAGATCTACATCTACCTCTCTAAAATGTGAATAAGGAAACTGAGGTATAGACCTATCAAATAAATTTGTTCCCAAGTAAATAGCAGATGAAACTGTTAAACTCCACTGGAGTCCTGAGTCTAATCTAAGATCTTCTAAATATATTTTGACATGTGAAAATAAAATGCAAATTAAAGGAGATAAAGAAGAATTTGTAAAAATAAAAAGTAGCAAAAACTCTGTGTAAGGGAAAATACATTCTGTTGTAACAAATGCCTGAGATAATCACCTTAAGAAAAAGGAAAGGCTTCTTTGAGGTACTAGCAGAAGAGACCCTATGCCCATTGTACTTTGGGTCTGTGGCAAAATGGCACATTATGATAAGGAACACTTGGTGAAACAGAGTTGGACACAGAAGGCAAAAGAAAGAGGAGGCAGAGAGAAGAGGCCGGACTTCCAAAACACCTTCAAGGACATACCATTACCAACTGGAAGAAATCCCACCAGGCCCTACACCTTAAATTTTCTACCACTGGAGACCAAGCTTTTAATACATGGGCTTCCTGGGGGAAATTCCAGGACTAAAGTAAAACAAGCCCTCTGTGTGTAGCCCTTGCCTCAAGATTCATCAGGTAGAAAATATGGCACAAAATGACCAGTTTCATATACCTGATCAAAGCCAGGTACAATCACTACTTGAATAAGAGTGTGAATTTGTACTTTTGACAAATATATAAATTACAGTCAAACCACACACACGCGCGCGCGCACACACACACACACACACAAAACCATCAGACCATACAAGACTAAACAATAACATAGAAACTCTGAAAACAGCCAATTTATTATTATTATCATCAAAATAAACAATTCTATCGAAAATGCCTTCATGCAGCAGTTTTATCCGTAGTTACAGATCTCATCACCAAATTCAATAGATTTGCCTCATAATAATTGCAAAGCTGACAAGCACAAGCAGAAGTATTAGGAGATATGTATTGCTTATAGGAATAATGAACTTGTTATTTGAGAGACATTCCCAAATCAGTGTCTCCTTAGAAAATCAAACAAGGAGCTGTTATTGGAAAGACTCATGTATACTCATGAAAGAACAGAGTAGTCCTCACATGTAGATGTGAGCATGCTCAGTTGACTCTCATGCCTCTTTCTACATCACTTGTTCAGAAAACAGTGGGCAGAATAAGGTGACCAGTTTTGCTGTTTCAGAATTCACTTAGACCATTTTATAAGTCTTCTCTATACAGAAACTTACACATTTTCAGACAGACACTCTCAAAGGAAAAACATTCAAATGACATAGTGATTTAAAGAGGCCATAGCTTTTTAATCCTTCAAGCTTAGGCATTATTCCTGAAAGTACCAGTTTCACAGCTAACATTGTCTATAGTAATGTAGATTAATGTATATGAAGAGATCTCAATAGATAGGAACATCCATGACAAAGCTTAGCCTTCTTGCCTGGCCCTACACAATACCATAAAACGATGATAATTAATAGGAAAAAATAGTAATGCATATTTTGAAGAGACTAAATTAAGAAAAGGACAGAAAGGACAGGAAGAAGAGGGAGTAAGATGGCAGAGATACTATACACTTAAAAAGTATCAACAACATCATATAGAAAAAAAGAGTTTCATGTCTTAAATGGAGAAGAAATGACAACTTCCGTAGATCATTACAGGAGAATCCAGAATAAATAAAGAGTATGAACTAGACTTTTATTTATATCTCTATGATGACATGGAGAATATTCAAAATTATTCGAATAGATCTTTGATACAAAGAATATTCAAGGTAGGTGGGTGGAGTCAGGCTTAAAAACAAAGTGCAAAACTTACTATGAATTGTGCTGAAGGTCAGGCTAAAGATTTGAAACTTCATTGTATTTTTAATAAGATTTTTTGAAAAGTTTGATCATGTAGAAAGCACTCTGAAATTCAGACTATAGGAATAAAATAAAACAAAGGATAGGCCATGAAGGATAGAGAAAAATGTGATCAACCGAAGACTACTATAGTAGTTCAGATATGAGATCATAAAAGTCTGAAATAGGCTGGTTGGGCTAAAGTTAGTAAGAGAAAGAACAAGTATTGAATGTGAGAGACATTGCCAAGATGAACAGGAAAGGATTTGGTAAATAACAAGAATCCAGGTGTGCAGCTTTTGTGTTCATGCAGGCTATAAAAAGCAAGAAAACAAATAGAATAATGACTCTGATAGATCCAATTCTGCAGTCTCAAGCTTTCAGAATAACTTCCATCTTGTGGGGTGGAGGGTAAGTACCTCTACAAGAGGAAAAGAGAACAGCAGCAAAATTGTTAACAACAGAAAAACTGAAAATTGTACAGAATGTGTTATGATTGGGTGATGTGTTACAGAATGAGAGGATATTCTCTAAATAGTTAGTAATGACTGGAAGAGACAAGCCAATTGTTCAAACCCAAGCTGTCTGAACCAAGAAACAGAAAAAAAAAATAGATAAAAAAGAATCAAGAAGCCAATGGCAAGCAGCCAAAACAACAAGCAACCAAAATGGTAGGGGAGAATAGAAGCATGGGAAGCAATAAACAGCTGCTACCCCACAAAAGTAACAATGGAAAGAGGTTTGGGTTCTAGGGACTGCAAAAACAAACGTACATCATTTAATCACCATTTTAAACTTTTCCAAGAACAAATAATTAGGAATACATGTAGATAAAATGTAAATCCAGATTCATGATGAAGAAAACACACAGAATGCTAGATGCTAGATATCTAGAAGTATGGGAAGGACAGAGATTCAGTGAAAACAGAATTGAAGTCATGTAAGTCATTTTTTCAAGGCTCTTGCAATCCATCTTACCAAATTTTTTTCCTGAATTTCCTTGTTGTTCTAACTCCATTCATCTATCAATTCTTCACTTAAGTCATATCCTGCATAAGTATTACCCCCATAATCTCACTAGCTACTCACCAAGCCAAGTTCTTTATAGACTTACCATGACCTGAAATGATATGTCTTAGTTTTCAGTATTTTATTTTTAGGTCTTAACCTAGAATACCAGCTCCATGTAGTAGGGGAATTTTATTTCTGTTTATCACTGCACTTGATAGTTTTGAATTGAATGGATGGATGGATGCATGTATGCATGCATGTATGGATGATGAATATCTTTTCATAGTCATGTTCTAAATTACACAGAACTAGGTTGAAATTCTGATTGAACCATCTACCAGTTTGTGGTAGAAATGAGCTTTCTCCCAAAAACATTTTACAGACTGCCTCAGTTTCTGTAAATGTTCTAGTCTCAGTCCACACAGTTCAGAAGCTTGACCTTAACTTCAAACTCCAAGGATGACACCTAATACAGATGGGTAATTCAGAGAATTCAGTCATCCTAGCCATAGTGGTTTGTGGAAAGGAATAATAATATTCCCAAAAAGCTTTGTAGTTGGAACAGACTCTGCTTACAAAAGACAGGTTAACTAGAGGAAGAACAGAAGTGTACTAACATATATACTTTACATATGTAAGGGAAACACCTACAGAATGCATAGTTCTCAGAGATACATTTTAATTCTAGTTTATATAGCCTCTTTAACAAAGGACAGTACAATTTTGGCTAAGTAAAAAGACAAAGGAAACAGACTTTGAGCTTCTAGAAGTGTCCTCTTAGAAAAAGGCAAATAAAAAGCAGATACACAAACCACAGCAATGTTTCCCTATGAAGCCATGTCAAATAAATAAGTTGTCATTAGTAACTAACAATTGTTTTATGAAATACTTTTTAACTTTATAAACATATATCTTACTTTTGGCTCTCATCTGTTTCTTTTGAATTGCCTTTCACATTTGAGAGATACATATTCTGATGAATTGGCATGGGATCCAAATTAGGTCCATTCAGATTCATCTCCAGGTTTTCATCGAAGCTGTATAATCATAACATTCTCTGTGATCTCTTAAACTTAGAGCTTCTAGAAACCATTTTTCCTATTGCATACAAAGGAGGTTCCTGAAAACAAGTCCAAGAAAGAAAGAAAGATAAGAAATGTGAAACAAGTAATGAGAATGTGAGAAGTTATGCAAGTTGCATTTCCATTATTTTTTCAAACCAAAGATACCATTAGCTACTGGTATAAAAGACATTAGTAATAGGTAAAATTATTTTAAAAAATAAAAGATAGTAAGAGAAAGTATCACACAGTTAAAAATCATTAAATAATCACAGTGACATTTTCTAGAGAAGACACATTAGCAAGAAAGACAATAGAGATCAGTTTGGAGAATATAACTGCCAACTAAGCAAGGGGAAGTAATTCTGATCTCAGACCTGCCTACAAAGAGAAAGTCCATCTCAAAGTTGGTGATAAACATATAAGAAATCTAAAGCAAGTATCACAAAAAGTCTTAGAGATATGAACTATATAAAGGATAATGGAGTATCAAAACTACTAGTTCTATCAACTCTAGTTCAAGAAAAATCAGATTTGATACAGTAAAGGCAGAAAAACAATGAGATATAAGTGAAAGAGGGATAATTAAGGAAAAAATCTGATTGTATCTCTGTCTATTCAGGCTATAAAATGTGAACAACTGGGTATGTTATAAAATCAGAAATCCTATAGGATATTCACTATGAATTCATTCATTATTAACTTTTATTTTCCAGGTCACGTCCATTTGCCCAGTGGAAGACCTTCAACCTTAAAAGTATATTTCTGGTGCTTGCTTTGAGAACCAATGCCTTAAAAACATATTTATGATGATCACATTAGCAGCACATACACTAAAATCAGAATGATACAGAAAAGATTAACATGGCCCCTGAACAAAGATGACATGTAAACTCGCGGAGCATTCCATATTTTGTTTATGAAAACATAGCAAGGAAAACTGTTGTAGACGCTATCTCTTAGAAAAAAAGCTACAGGGAGTATATGACCTAGGGGTGAAATTTAATAGAATACAATGTTAACATATGTAGAGATGTAGCAATGAAATATCTCATATAACTGACAGAAGCATGCAGTTTTCTTAAGCATAGTTCTATAAACCTAGATCCTCACAAAAAAATCTGAAACCAGGCAGGTAAGGAGAGAATGAAAGACAAATGAATGACTATAATCTACATGAAGGGTTCAGCATTGCTGATCTAATGTGTCTGGTTTTCTACACCACACTATCACCAGGACAGCTATCCATGAATCCAGTTCATCTCATTTTTAAAAGACAGAAAATAGATTGCTCTAACATTTGCTATTCAAATCTTTTCCTAATTTCGAAAATGCCATTATTTTGGAACCTGCAAAGGTATTTTGTGTTTGTTACAGAGTAGGAGTCAATTTGTGGATGAATAAGAAACATCTTTTGTGTTTTTATCATCTTTTAATGTGCCTAGTGAAAGTTAAATTCCAAACTACAGGCTTAGCTGAAGAGAGCAAAACTATTCTACAGTTATAAGATTGAACAATTCATCCCAAGGAAAAAGGGGATACTGTCTGTTAATATTTTGGCATTTTATTCTCCCTATTGATACCTCATTGATTCAACTAATGGACCAAAATATTTTTCAAAATATGAAATGTTACTAAGCAGAGTTCAATGGAAAGTTGATTCATCTGAAACAATAGCATAAAAGTCCTAAACTCATCATCATATTAAAGATTCAATTTCTTCAATATAGTTTTGACCCAGAATTCAGAATTCTGTTAAGTGTCAAATGTTATTTTAAAAAACATGGACTTAGGAGCTGGTGGCTCCTTCCTGTAATAGCAGCTACTCAGGAGGCTGAAATCTGAGAATCACAGTTCAAGCTATCCTAGGCAGGAAAGTCCGTGAGACTCTTACATCTAACCACCAGAAAACTGGAAGTAGCACTGTAGCTAAAAGTGGTAGAGCAATAACCTTGAGCAAAAAGAGCTCAGGACAGCATCCAGGTCCTAAGTTCAAGCCCCACAACTGACAACAACAACAATAATAATAATAATTTAAAAGTACAAGAAAGTGTGAGGTCAAACTTGCAGAATTGGGGCTGGGAAGGTGGATGAGTGGTATAGTGCTTGCCTTGCATCCATGAGGTCCTGGGTTCAATTCCTCAACACCACATAAGCAGAAAAAGCCAGAGTGGCGCTGTGATACAAGTGGTAGAGTGCTAGCCTTGAGCTGAAGAGCTGAGGGACAGCACCCAGGCCCAGAGTTCAGACCCCACCACTGACCAAAAAAAAAAAAAAAATCTTGCAGAACTGTTGGTATATTTAGTGGTGAAGAACACAAGCTTTAAAGTTGATGTGCCTGAGTTTGAATCCATCATTTGGAGTTGTGTGACGTCAATTTTTTCATCTTCAATTTTTCAAGAGTCCAGAGGAAGATGGCGGAGGAGATGCAAATCAAGACAACATTGAGATTCCACCTCACCCCAGTTAGAATGGCTATAATCAAGAAATCTAATAACAGATGCTGGAGGGGATATAGCCAAAAGGGAACCCTACTGCATTATTGGTGGGAATATAAAGTTGTTCAACCACTTTGGAAAGCAGTACAGAGGTTCCTCAAAAGACTCCACATAGAGCTCCCCTATGACCCAGCAATCCCACTTTTAGGCATTTACCCAAACAATCACAAACAAGGCTATACTAAAGCTACCAGCACAATTATGTTTATCACAGTATTATTTACCATGGCTAAGATATGAAACCAACTTAAATGTCCCTCAGTAGAATATATATATATATATATATACATACATGCATACATACATACATACAATGAAATTTTATGCCTCCATCAAAAAGAATGACACTGCCCCATTTGTTAGGAAATGGAAAGGCTTGGAAAAAAACATATTGAGTGAAGTAAGCCAGGCCCAAAGAAACATAGGTCCCATGGTTTCCCTTATTTGCAATAACTAGTATATGTCTAGGACAAGCAGAAAAGGTTAAAAGCTATGTACATATGACCATATAAGATGATGCTAAGTGAAATGAACCCCAAGATAAGGATACAAGAGGTTTTATCTTTGTAGCTGTTGGTTTTAATGTATTTATAATGTACTATGTGATTTCTTTGTTTCTTTAATATGCTCTTCCCCCATGGTATAACCCCTGTTTTCAATGTATTTGATTCCAGTGAGCTGAATCTTGTATATACATTTTTCTAATTTCAGGAGGGGAAGGGAAATAACAAAATGCTGAAATAAGGATATAGTTTGACCCAATGTAACAATGAGATTTACAATACACTATGTTGAAAACAAACTTTACAACTTGGGGGGCGGGGGAGTTTAGAGGTGGGGAGGGAAAGGATGGCAGAGGAGAAACAAAGGAAGAAGTAACAACATGCGATAGGAAATGTACTCATTAGCTTACTCATGTAATTGTAATCCCTCTGTACAGTATTTTTACAATAAAATATATACAAAAAAGACAATATTATAACACCAAGTCCTCGTTAAATTAGCAAGCAATGTAAAATGCAACATGTTTTGATATAATGTCATTTATACTAATACTATTATAAGTACTACTAAGTAATTTTGAAGAATTCTTAGATGAAGCTTGTTTGGTTCTTCCTAAAGTATCCTGAAATATTTGTTTTTTAAAAAAATAAGAATTAACCCCTCCTTCACATTCTTCAATAAACTCCAGACAAATAAAATCATCTGTTCTGTGTTAAGAGATGGACATACACTGGCACTATATTGGAAAAAAAGGGTTTTCTAGAAAAGTACAATAATCACTTGGTATACTAAAGTATACTAAAGTCAGAATGTGGAACACAAGCTGAATCCAAATCCTAATCCTAAATATTTCCCAGGAAATACCTTTCTTGAAGGATTAACTAATGGGTTGGGGAGGGAGGAAGGGTGGATAAGTAAAATATAAAAGAAGAAGTAAGAGAGAAAAAATACACACATACATAAACATGCTTTCATATTTAATAATGTCCTCATTAAGATTGTACAATCTTAATTGTAAAAAGAAATATTCATTTGGCCTGCAATTGTATGGTGTTCCAGTGTTCCATTCACATCAACTGAGCTAGAAACAAAATCAATCACCTTTTACATTTTCATTCAGATGTAACCATTGTACTTTTCTCTTTTTTTGGGGGGGGAGGGGTGGTCCAGTCGTGGGGCCTGAACTCTGGGCCTGGGCGATGTCCCTCAGCTCTTCAGCTCAAGGCTAGCGCTTTACCACTTGAGCCACAGCACCACTTCCGGCTTTTTTCTTTTTGCTTATGTGGTGCTGAGGAATCGAACCCAGGGCCTCAGGCATGCAAGGCAAGCGCTTTACCACTGAGCCACCTTCCCAGCCCCTATTGTACTTTTCTGAAGTACACTACAATAACTTCAAATATGTATATAAATTAGCCTAATAAGTACTTTTTCTCCCCACACTTTTCATTTATAGGAATTGGAAACTTTGTCCTCTATTTTAGTTATTTTGAAATATATTGTTAAGATATCTATAACCAATTGTCACTCTTCTTTGCTACAGAAAACTAGAAACAATTCCTTCTCTGTAAATGTATCTTAGTGTCCCTTGTCTAACTTCTTTCCAGCCTTCTTGCGCTTTCCTCTTCCCAGTCTTTACTCAATTGTCTACTATTCCACTCCATTCTTCCAATAAAAATCACAGGATGCTCAGGTTTTATTCATGCTTCAAATAAGCTATAGATCATTTTTAGTGTTAGTATTCCTTATGAGTACCCCCTGGAGTTGGTATCTTAGAAGGTAAAGATCACAAACATCAAAATTAATAAAAATCACCTATGCCCCTACACCCATGTTAAAAGAGAAGATAACATCTGTAAAAACATTAACCAAGTAAGACTTTCCAAGAAGAGATCATAAAGTCTTAGCAACACATCCTCAGTTGAAATGCAGGTGCATAGTTTGAAGCTCTAACTCTACCTCTATGAAAGTATGAGATACCAATGTACTTAAAGGTGTACATTATGGGCACACATTACTTCCAAAAAATGCCTTTGCTAAATAATTAGAAACAAAAGCAGCATTATATATTTGTATCTCTGTTGCCAAATTAAATGACAGTGTGTTCTATGTTGTCAGTTCTGAAAAGTTGGCAGTTGTTAAAGAAAAGACTCCTAAATCCACTGCTTGCTTTCATATCTTTGTATTGAGGTTTTAAAAATAATTTTCCTATCTACATCTGCGATTCTTTGTTCCCCTGCTGTTGTATGACTAGAATCCTTCAAACCTATTTCCTCCAACCCTTTAATATCCTAAGTGACTTGCAGAAATTGAGCTAAACATTTGGAATTGAGATTAAATTCCCTGAATGCTTTTGGCATTGCTGAGTGCTGTCATTCTCATCACTGCTCAGCACAAACGCCATTGGATAAAGTGTTTTTTCTCAAGGGAGAGGGGGTAGGAATACTGCAGCCACTGAATGATATGTGAGACGTGGAGCTATAATAGTGACAGAGTTTAAAGCACAGCCTTCCTCGCTATGACAGAGCATGTAATGCACCTGAAATTGGGCCCCGTGTAGTGACTAAGAGTTTCAATTTTCGGAGTTTTATAGAATTCTGTATTATGTTTGACAGCTCGTTTTCACACCAATGGCTGGTTCCATAATACTAACAAAGTACAAAGATGAGAAAATGTCACAGAAAGAGAGAGAAAGAATGCAAAAGTGTATGCAAGCTTCTAGCACATAAAACATAATTTCCTAGGGGAAATTACCATTCTTCATATTGTTATGACATTTTCAGTGTACTGAATCTGCAAATTTTGGCTGTTCTCCACACATATATTGCAAAGTTTGTTCAAATGGAGAGAGTGAGGCAGGGAGCTGCCAGTTGCTTAGGACCTTCTGTGCATGTTGATACCCCTTTGTCTCACACCA